ATTCAACTTATCTTTGGTTTCATCGGTAAAGTTATTGCACACATCAATATTCGAGGAAAAGAAGAAGTGATGGCTAACTGAGGAGGTTTTTGATGACAATTTAAAAAGTTTTTGAAATGAGTCGAAACATTGCGATTGCGAATAAAAACATTTTTCCTACACTTAAAGGTGGTTGTTTCCTTTCTGTAAATGGTCAAATGGACATGACCCACACTTTTCTAGCAACCTGTTGCCATTGAGATCTATTCGAATCGTAACTCTAGAACAGAGATCGAGAAACGCAAGCCCTCTTAGACGATTTAACCTCAGTGAGATCTAGTTCGTTGAAATATTATCAGTTCATAATCTTCTGATCTCGAACTGATCCATGACGTCCAAATATGTGAAAGTTTAAAAAAAAGTGGAATTGGTTTGCATCGAAAACACTCAAACTGGGCCTTAAGAAATCTAGATATAATCTCATATCTTTACCGAAGAAAAAAATTCTTCGTTTGGATCCTTTTAATACATTTTTTTCAAAGCTCATTTGAAAGGAAAAGATGAGTTCGCGATGCAATGCATTTCGATAGCTTTTTTTCTAAACGTTGAAAAGAGGACGAAATACCTTCAATGTAAATTCGCTATATTGATAGCCTATGACATTTTTACTGGTCCAAGTCACAATTGTAAAAATGGTAATTCTGGCACCTTGGCCAAAGGTCATAGGATATGATGCTACACGCTATTGGTTGTTGCAAAAAAATGTGGATGAAAAACACGTTTAAGATCTTACATCTGAAAGTGTTCGAACAATATATTCATTTTAACAGAGATGAACAAGTACTAAATATTTGACAGCATTCCAAATAAGCATTCGAAACAGCAGTTTCAATAATCCTTTAGAGACTCTCGACTTTTAGAGATATAATTGTATGCTCATATCAGAAATGTATTCTTCCTTAACTACTGCCTCCTCATAGATTGAAATGGCTTCTATGAATGATAACGCTAAATTGGTCAATTGCTCACTTCCTAAGAAGAGTGTTTTCGTCGATTCAAATGAGAAATCAATATCAATTTCACATGCACAATATACAAGAAATGTTCCGAATAACACCATTGATCGAATAAAAAGTTACACGATAGGACAGATCATGTATAACTTTCTTTTTTTTTTTGTAAAATATGATCCTTGTTACTTGTTTCTAGGAAATATTTCCTCTGGTTACTACTTGATTTTGGTACCAAACCTGTCTTTGTATTGCCTATGATAACAAGTATAGCTATGGTCATAGGTATATTGGTTGTTTGTTTTACCGTACCAAAACCACCAGGTATGCCCTTGTTGTTTTACATTCTTCATATCCACTACAATAAAAAGAAGCAACAAGGTCTAGTCTTCTTACAAGTATTGTGATTTTTCAGTAAAAAACAGCTTAAATTGTGATGACATTTGATGTCAATATGCTCGAAGCATATCGTCAGCCGAGGACAGAAGTGTAAGCATTAGAATCGCTTCATTTTTCAATTTCAAATTAGCATTGGCGAGTGAATCAGACAAGGTATTCATCACCAATAGAGCTGATACACTTCTCCTTAGTTGGATTTAATGAGCTTAGAAAATGATGAAAAATATACGATTTCTTATAAAGAAACATTATCAATTGTTATCTTCTGTTTGAGTTCATAAAATAGAAAAAACTTGGAAAAGGACTTATCCAATTGCTGCTTTATTTCAGAGAAACGAGCATGACAAGATTCTCTAAATAGGAGATTATTGTTTTCTTAAAAAATTGTTTTTCATATCTCAATAAAGTAATATTGCTCAAGAACTGGTTTTATTTGAAAACTCATCGTACGCTGTTTTAGTTCTTATTACACGAATACCATCTTTATTATATTCTGTTTTCTACAGATGAAAGAAAGACATTCCTTGAGTTACTTCTTCTATTATAATTTTTTGTAGTATTTCTTAACGTTTTTGTGACCTCTTCATATTTGTATTCTATCTATATTGCTCTTAGTTCTACCTTCAGATCTGTATGTGTATATGTTTTTTTCTCTATTATAATCATGTGCATTGGTCCCGGATGCAGATATAAGTGTCTATTCTTCATTCACACCTACACATTGCTCACAAGCTGTCAAATTTTCTATAAATAATCGAACCGTTTTATTCTGTTAACAATTGGTTCTTGACTTCATGATATTGTTCTAATCATCTTGTAACTATGGTATAAGATAGTGCTAGTTTCCAAAAACGGAATATAGGTTGAGATTATTGTTTTTTTTATTAATGATACACTGAAGAAATTTAGAGCACTGTTATGGCTGGGCATGCACCAAAATCAAACTCTTGGTTTTGAATATTGTTTTGGTATTTGTGGCATTGGTTTTGATTTTGATGCATTGCAAGAAGATTGACTTTTAAATAATGAATCCACAATACATTTGTTTAAAGTTAATTGTATCTTTCCTAAATAAACATTTCTCATGTAGAGTCATTTATCGATCGAAAGTAGACGTTTTCTAAAAAACGTCTACTTCCTATGACTAAAATTCTTTTTTGAGGACTATTTACAATTCTATCCTAACAGTTCAGTCAGGAAAACGTATTCAATATATATTCAACAGGAAAGTAATTGCTTTCATTCGCGCAGTATTTGGCGAAAGCTTGCATTACTTTGGAAATATTCTTTAAAAGATGCTGTAGCAGATATGGAGACTTACAGTATAATCGAAGTTTCAGAAATTTATTAATATTTTTGTGGGGGGAGGAATATTTCATTTTTTATAGATGATACTATACCATATTCCACTGTTTATTTACGAGCTAGAAATACGAGTCAAATTCATGATATGGAAGCAGAATGATGAAGAAAGTAGTTCAAATATATGGGAATTTGCGCACAGACTTGAAGACGGTGTTAATAAACTAATCGAAATTTTACTATATGACTTGAATCTAGGGAGTTTCTTTCAATGTGTCTTTTCAGTACAACTGTTCCAAGAAATATGGGCAAATAACTTAAAGCATAGTTATTATAAAGTATTTATGATCCCGGAATTTGTGTAGTTGGTTTTAGTATTATGCTTAAGAAAACCATCGGAGTCACACATGCTGGAACTTTCTTTTTGTTGTTTTCTATGGATAAATATTTCATGATATCAATTTCATGTAATATGCTAGACTCAGTGGCCATCTTCAAATGCTAGTAACGAAAAGAGATTCTCACTCTCAATGAGCATTTATTTTTTGGTCGTATGAGGTAGTATCAGCGATACTTTTTATTCGTTTTCTCTGAAAATTGTGAAAATTGTTTCGATATACCTGAATAGTCATCTACACATTTTCTAAATTATATAGTTGCTGACGAAAACTAACGTATATATCGAAATTTGTTGTTATAATGCGTATTTCTTCAGTTTCGACGCCAGTGGGTTCTTTTGTATCTTTGTAAAATCGAGAGGTAGGCATCGGGTGCTAAAATTCCAATTTATATTACCTTACGTTTAATGTAAATTTATTACAATATCTTTTGGATGACAACTGAGATGTTATCGCAAAAATATTCATCTTCTATGTCCTTATGCACTGTATACAATAGAAATACAAAAGAATGATAAAAATACAGCGGAGCTCTATATAGGGTAGCGGACAAATCTTGAATAATTTTTTTGATATGAATATTTCTGTACTGACAAATATTCTTTTAGAACTGCTTGTATAGCAAACAATAACAGTAAAATGGACATTTAGTAACGATATTCACATTCTAGAAACGTCTGTTTTAAATGTCGAGCATTAGTTTTATGCTTGAAAAAAAAAAAGAATTTCACCTGCATAATAAACTTGGCAACTAAAAAACAATTACTTTGATTTTCACCTGTGTAAATGTATTCATTTTGTGGAGCGCACGCGTATTTCTGAAGACAATAGTGAGCGTAAGTTTTAAGTCAAATTTTTTCGACTCCTTCATTTCAGACCATAGTGTCTCCCTGTAATCATTACAAACCTTAGCAACCTAGACTAAATAATGTATATTTTCAATTGTCTTGCTTCCCATGTAATCCTATATTTATAAAAATCATAATAATTAAATCGAGAAAAACAATATACCAAAATAAAATAGAAACAGGCGACTTCCGACAATCGATTATCATTGGGAAAGAGCTATCAGCATTCAGAGATTTTTCACTTCGTTCATTTGGTATAAATATAATGAAGCTAAAGAATACATGTGAGTTGCACATTTCAGCCCCAAAATGATTGCACTAACAAGATTTTTCTTTCTCTCTCATGTCGACGTACAAGTCTCTGTTTTTACAGACATGATCAAAAGCTGAAGAGAGTGATTTCACCTAGAAAGATATTTATTACTCATTATTATTCAGTAGGTCCGAGGATCGTGAAAAACTGATGGAAAAAAACGATGTTCAAAATGTTCACTACAAGTTAGTACATTTATTTAATCCCTAATATTTAAATCTACATTGAAAGTTATCATACGTTTACATAGATGTAAGTGTGAAGGAAGAAGAATAACTATACGCCCCCAGCGATCCGAAGAAAGTTTCTTTTTATCATACTGACAGATGTACTCAATAGCTTTCATTCGTGCATTTGTCTTGTAATGTTTAATTAATTCTAAGAAGGAGGCTTCATACGAATAGAGAATCTATAGTTATTAAAATATGATACACAGAACAGTCGTTTTATTGATAGGTTTTCATCGAACTCTTTTCAAGTTGTGAGAAACTTTATGAAATGCTATTGTCAGTTTCTAGCATCGAGTTGAGTAGTTTTCACACTTACTTTTCTTTTTCATTATTTAGTTCAAAAGTGTGAACTCAAATTTCAAAAACTGGACAATAATCTGATTGAATCTAATAGAGGTCCACGATCTGTTTGTGTTGGAGATTTCAACAAAGACAATTTGCTAGATATCGTCCTTACAAATGTTAAAGCGAATAACATCGAAGTATATTTCGGATATGGTGATGGAAATTTTGGGAATTCAATGACATATTCAACTGGTTCTCATTCAAAACCATGTTCAATCGCAGTTGCTGATATCAACAATGATACTATACTGGATATCGTTGTAGCAAATTTCGGTAGCAACAGCATTGGAATATTTTATGGATCAAGTAATGGATCTTTTGTTTCTCCAATATCAATCTTCACCAATGTATCTCGTCCATATTCCATCAACATAGTTGATTTTAATAATGACCAACTCCTTGATATTATTGTTGCTAACTATGGTATTCAAACTGTTGGCATATGGTATGGGCTCGGAAATGGAAGCTTTTCCAAACGAAGCGAGTATTCGACCGGTTATGACTCTCTACCCTCTGCAGTAATCACTGCAGATTTCAACAATGATTCTCGGCTAGATCTACTCATTGCCGATTCGGGCACGAATAATATAGGAGTATTTCTCAGTGATCATGGTGGAAGATTTAAAAAATTAACTTTATATTCAACAGGCTCTGGTTCTCGACCTACTTCAGTTGCTGTTGGTCATTTCAACAACGATACTCTACTAGATATCGCCGTCGCTAATTACGGGACTGAAAATATAGGTGTAATGCTTGGCTATAGCAATGGGACTTTTTCACAGCAAATAGCACATTCGCTCGGCACTGCTAAACCATATACCATTAGTGTTGGCGACTTCAACAAGGACAATCGACTGGATTTGATAGCCACTAGTAACGGTACTCACAACGTAGCTATACTTCTCGGAAGTGGTAATGGTACTTTTCTAACACCACAAATGTATTCAACTGGATCTTCCGATTCTACATCAATTGCTATAGGAGATTTCAACAATGATGATCGACTAGATATTTCCGTCGTCAACAATGATATTCAAAGTGTCGATATTCTTCTTGGATATTATCAGGGCTTTCAAAACAGCTCGAACTATTCAACTGGCTCTCAACCATACGGTGTAGCTATTGGTGATTTCAACAACGACTATCGACTCGATATAGTAGTCGCTAATAAAGACAGCCGCAATATAGGAGTATTTCTTCAATATGAAAATGGTAGTTTTGCTGATCAAGTGCCCTATTTAACTGGCTCTGGTCCACAGTCGCTAGCGGTGGGTGATTTCAACAACGACTCTCGACTGGATATTGTCGTCGCTAATGAAGACAGCCACAATGTAGGAATATTTCTTGGATATGGCAATGGGAGTTTCGCTAATCAAGTTACCTATTCAAAAGGGTCTTTTCCATCCAGTGTAGCTATTGGTGATTTCAACAATGACTCTCGGCTCGATATTGTTGTCGCTAATGCAGGAAGCAATCATATAGATGTTCTTCTCGGACATGGCAATGGGAGTTTTGCGGATCAACTGACATATTCAACTGACTATTGGCCAACTGCCGTAGCTGTTGGCGATTTCAACAATGACTCTCGGCTGGATATTGTTGTCGCTAATGCCATCAGTGACAATGTAGGAATATTTCTTGGATATGGAAATGGCAGTTTTACTGATCAAACAACCTATTCAACTGGCTCTTGGCCAACCAGTGTGGCTGTTGGTGATTTCAACAACGATTATCGGCTTGATATTATCGTTGCTAATGCAGGAAGCAATAGTGTGAGTGTACTTCTCGGGCATGGTAATGATAGTTTTACTGATCAATTGACGTATTCAGCTGGCTTCTGGCCAACTAGTGTAATTGTTGGTGATTTCAACAACGACTCTCGTCTCGATATCATCGTTGCTAATAGAGACAGCAATAATATAGGTCTACTTTTCGGATACGGCAATGGGAGCTTTCTTGGCGACACAACCTATACAACTGGCCGCTTGCCAGACAGTGTAGCTGCTGGTGATTTTAACAACGACTCTCGACTGGATATTGTCGTCGCTAATAGAGGCAGCAACAGTGTGGCAGTTATGTTGCAATACAATATTGGAGCTCTCAGACACCAAACGACGATTACACCTGGTAGTGGTTCTGGTTTGCGGTCTTTTGCTGTGCATGATCTCAATAATGATAAACAGCTGGATATTGTCTACGCTGGTTTTGGTTCTAGAGTTGTGGGCGTCTTGTTTGGAAGTGGGAATGGTACGTTTATACACAAAGCGATATATTCAACTGGTTCTCGTCCAAATTATGTTGTTGTTGGCTATTTCAACAACGATGCTCATTTAGATATTGCTGTAGCAAATGATGATAGCAAAAATGTTAGTTTACTGCTTGGAAACGGAAATGGAACATACACGATTGACAATGGTGTGGGAACCCGTTTTCCTTCTGCGCCCTTGGTGCTTGCTAGTAGTGATTTGAACAGTGATGGGCGATATGAAATTTTGGTTGGCTGTGATAAAAGTGACGTTATTCATATACTTGTCGCCTATGACTTCGGATCTTTTATCAATCAACAGAGCTATTCCACTGGTATTTGGCCATCCAGTGTAGCTGTTGGCGATTTCAACAACGATTATCGACTGGATATTGTTGTCGCTAATATAGGCGACGGCAGTATAAGTGTACTTCTTCAATATGAAAATGGCAGTTTTGCTGATCAAGTGGCTTATTCAACTGGCGAGCTGTCAAATAGTGTGGCTGTTGGCGATTTCAACAACGACTTTAAACTAGATATTGTCGTCGTTAATGGAGACAGCCGCAATATAAGTGTTCTTCTTGGATATGGCAATGGGAGTTTTACTAATCAAACAACCTATACAACTGGTTGGTCCCCAGACAGTGTAGCTGTGGGTGACTTTAACAATGACATTCGACTGGATATTGTCGTTGCTAATGCAGGAAGCAACAATGTAGGTGTACTTATTGGTTACGGGAATGGCAGCTTTGCTAATCAAACAGTGTATTTAACTGGCCAGTCTCCATCCAGCGTAGCTGTTGGTGATGTAAACAACGACTCTCGACTGGATATTATCGTTGCTAATAGAGACAGCAACAATGTAGGTGTACTTATCGGTTACGGGAATGGGAGCTTTGCTAATCAAACAGTGTATTTAACTGGCCAATTTCCATCCAGCGTAGCTGTTGGTGATTTAAACAACGACTCTCGACTGGATATTATCGTTGCTAATGGAGACAGCAACAATATAGGTGTACTTATCGGTTACGGGAATGGGAGCTTTGCTGATCAAATAACATATTTAATTGGTGAAAAACCATCCAGTATAGTTGTTGGTGATTTCAATAATGACTATCAGCTAGACATAGTCGTGTCTAATAGAAACAGCGACAATTTAGGTATACTTCTTGGCTACGGTAACGGTAGCTTCGCTGATCCAAGAACATATTTAACTAGTCAACACCCATCTAGTGTAGCTGTTGGTGATTTCAACAATGACTCCCGACTGGACATTATCGTCGCTAATTATGACAGTAACAATATAGGTATACTTCTAGGATACGCAACTGTATCATTTGCAGAACAAATATCACTTCACACTCACATCACTTCGGCGCCTCAGTCATTTGCTGTTGGCGATTTCAACAATGATCATCAAGCAGATATTAGTATTGCTTATCCAGAGGCTGATATGATCGGTATATTTTTTGGATATGGTAATATTTCTTTTTCACAGCAGACAACTTATTCTACTGGCACTTCTTCATCTCCACGCTTTATTGCAGTTGGAGATTTAAACAGTGACACTCGATTAGATATCATTGTCGCAAATTGTGGCACCAACAATATTGGTGTTTTCCTTGGATATGGAAACGGCACATTTTTGGATCCGTTATTATTCTCAACTGGTGATGCTTCTTGTCCGGTATCTATGGCCGTGGATGATTTTAACAACGATAGTGTACTAGACATTTTAGTAGCTAATCGCAAAGAGAACAGAGTTGGCCTATTCCTCGGATATGGTAATGGGAGCTTCCATTATCAAATTGTGATTTCCAGCAACTACGGGTCTTTACCATTCTCTGTTGTCAATGCTGACTTTGATAACGATAAAAAGCAGGATTTCGTAGTTGGAAGCGATGGAGATGACAGTATAAACGTTTACTTACAGAGTTGTTAACTTTCTATCTTTCAATTCAGCTTATTATGTCATATCATAAATATAAAAGAAGATTTTTTCAAAAATAGTTTAAGCCGTATCGTTGAACTTGACGGAAACACAGTCATATTTTGCATCTGAATAGAATTCTTCGTTTATTGGAGCAAATCTGATTATTTTCTTCTTGCTCGACTTGAAAGAATTTTGACTCATTATATATCACTCTTTTTTCTGCGATGATTTTTTGTTGTCTGTATGTTTCGATTTCGGTAAACATTTTCGAAGCTTTGATTCATCCTCAAATCAATTTACGCGTTAGTAGAATCATTTTCGTGCGATTGCTTTATTTACCGTCACTCTCACCTACCTCGCTTACATTCATAGTTGACCATAAAAAATGATCAACCAAAGAAAACATTTTTATTCTTGCGTGTTTATTGTCATGGGTTAAAGAAACATACGATAGGTTGTGAATGTGACGAATTGTCAAGATTTCATGTAAAAAAAATGAGGCTCGATGTCAGATTAAAATCGATTATAATCATACGCTTTTAATCGATTTTTAGATTTTAGAAAAACTAAAAAAATCCTAATTTCATTGATAATTGCGATTAATCTCGATTATAATCGATTAAAACTTAACGAAAATCATCTGCTATTATTGTCACCAATTATAATCGATTTTAAACGAAAAGGAGTTCTTTGTAAAACAAGTTAGTTATATACACATCAAATATGACGAATTCTGGAAATATGAAGATTAGAAAACGGGAACATAGAATATATTGAACTAAATTTTCTTCTGATAAGTGTTTTTTTTACAATACCTACTCTTTACATAGAAATGCATATCTAACAATAGGTCTGTGAATTCGTCTAAATATTTTGTTTACTTTCTTCGCATTTGGTTTTGTCGTTCTTAGATATATATATATATATATGTCATTGATGATGATTGAGTCACTTTCTTCAGACATATTTAAGTTGGCATTGTTTTATTCCTTTTACGTTTTCTTCACCTGATGAAAACGAAAATAACGTGTATGAAATTCTACAAACAATGTAGATGAGTCAATATGGATCAAGTAATGTTGTCAGTTTCATTCTGAATTTCGTATTAGTGCTACTTTTCGATCGGCATAACGCGAATAAGCAATACTAACACTTATCTATTATTGCGATTTCTCAAAAATATTATTCAAAAATAAATAATTTTCTTTGATAATTGAAAGTGTGATTGAAATGAATACTGACACAGTCAAACAAAAGAAGAATGTTATTTTTTTTTCATATTACAGTTGAAATTTTATCAAAGTGAAACACCGATAAGCATTACTTTACAGTTGACGTAGGTAAAATTTCAATTCTAAAGAATTACTCCGTGGAAAAACTGCTGAATAGACTCGTTCGAAAGTAGTTCAGTTTATTAAGCAATGAGTGTGTCGTGTCGATGCAGAAAATATAAATGAGATGATTTGATATGAAATATTACTTGACAATGCAATGTCGACTCTCTTCATAGGATATGAAAGAAAAGAAAACTGGCTGAAATGTGAAACAATCATCAGATTATTTTTACCACCGAATTAAGCAAATAGCAAATGAATCATTTGTATGCTTTCTTTTATCTTGAGCGATGAATAAATATAGCGTGCAAGTATATTCAATCGTGTCAGCGATCGATCATCAATGGAAGAGTCCCTGCGATTATAATGTCGATCCTAAATAATTGCATGTGAATTATCAAAAAAAAAATACAATAGATTTGTAGTTTTGATAAGAGAATTGATCATATCTAAACTGGAATGATTGTAAATAAAATTACCTTTATAAAGATCCTTAAAGGTCCTCTCGTGTTGTCAACAATATTTGAGCACACTCACATTTTTTTAATCAGAATATTGTCGAATGAAAGCAATTTTTGATATAGTATATCTCGTGTGTGTTTAACATAAAATATGGGATAGAGTTTTAAAAGTATTTTAATAAAAAAAAAAATGTTTTCAACCAACACAGTTGTGATCAATGAAATGTGAAGTAGTAACCCAGCACATACATGTATATAAGCTCTCTCTATGTCGATATGGGTGCCACGAAGGGATTTACACCGCATTTCTCTAAATGCCCATTATGCCCCCTTCTCAATAAAGTACAGAAAAAGAGTCTTCGGGAAACTGATAGAAGGCATCGAGTCATAGTAGTAAGTAAACAGGAAGGGTTGCCTGTTTATGCTTGTATTTGACTAATTGTTTGTTTTGGTTAAAATTTGTGTCTACTGGTAATTGTGAAAGATGATATTCGAATCAGTTGCAATGATCATTCTATTTTTTTTATATGAAAACGATTGATCAAACCCATTCTCATTGCCGCCTATCGAAAATTACCATGAAAACAGTTTTCAGAAGTAAAACGAAAGATGAGGAAAAATATTGAACATAAAATATTTTAGACGACTCGCGCATTTTTATTGTCTGAGAAAAATAACTGCCTTGTCAGTACCATGATCAAAATTAAAATACAAAATACCAAGGACATAGGTGACGAGAAACTCGTTCGAAAAATTAAATGACTTCTGAATCTTTTCTGAAAAACTGAACCTGTAAAACGCATTTCATTCGCATAAGAACGCAGAGACATGCTTTCATTGGAAAAAGATGCAACGCGTTCTAGAATGTGTTTCTTCTAATTTTTTATGCCATGCGAAATGCTATATTGGACGACAAGTGCATATAAAAAAGTATAACCAAATTATTTGTAGAAAGATTGGAGAAGCACGTTTGCAAAAATTTATCCTCTAAATTTGCTATAGCTTTAATCGGCTACAGTTTACTAAACATCTGAACGAAATCTTCATTATCTCACCTCTTGTTCTACCTAGCTGTTTTTTAATGCTTTTTGTTAGTGAGTCAAATGAGCAGAGGGATCATATGTTAGCACAGCGGAAGCAAATGATAACAGGAAATAATTAATTATATAACGGAATATTCTATCACGCTGTAATTTTTTGAAAATCTTGGTATACAGCAGCATTGTTTACAGCTGAATAAACAGCCCTTGTCATCATGGCACTTCAATTTTGACCGCAAAATTGAATTTCACTCAAGTGAAATTGTTTGTTCTCACTTACCGACTATTCTATTGATGAAACTCTTTTCAACTACCATTTGTGGATTTTAATACGAACAGTGAACGCGTATGCCTTAAAAAACAAACAGAAAGACAAAAGCAAGGCAGAAGGATACTCATGATTATGTCAATAATATAATGAATGGCGCTGTGGTACGAAAGGGACAAGACACATCTGCTTTTCACCGTCGTGAATACTTTTGCTTTGTACCAAAAATGTCATTTAACTTGACATACCGTAAGAACAAGCAATAGTTGAAGGAATAAAAAACGATTTAATGGAGTTAATCAATTACTTAATCCAATGCTAAAGAACTCTGTATCGACTGAAAAATGTACGATAAATTTTTCATGCGATTGATTATATTGACTCTACTGAGCAGATTATTTCGTGAAACTGGATCAATTAGCAATTAAATACGATCTTTGGATGTTTGAACAATATCGCCAACAATTCAAACTCGAGCTGAATCTGTTGTCGGTTACTTTTTTAGTTAGAAAGAAGAAAAACTAAAATTCAACTTTTATACGCGACTTGTTTTTCCATAAAGAATCTACAAGGCCTAAGAAGTCAAAAACCAAACATCTCTAACAACGTCCTTGCAACTTCACCTTCGCGAAATATAATTTTCTCTTTTGTTTTCATTTTTATAACAGAACCGAAATGAAAACGCACGTTGAATAATGATTTTTATAGCGTAAAGAGTGCTCTTTCCAATGATGTATTGAAAATTAAATTTAGTCTAGGTTTCTCTAGAAAAATATAGCTGCTTCTGGATGGCACTGTATAACTTGGTCTGTTTTACTAACTGACTGTTTTGGAACAATAAAAGTTTTTTGAATTCCTTTTTTTCTGCTAAATTTCTAAGATCAGACGTATTTCGAACAAATAACACCAAAAAAATTCAGTTCGTACAGTCTCTGAAGGTTGTGGTTGATCTCCTTCTGAATTGATAGTTCTTGAAAAAGACTATTTTACAAAAATTTCAATTTCCTATTTTTTTAATTAAAGAGTCAAGAGTGGATCTTAAAAAAATTTACCAAAGTTGATGCCGTTAAAAATGTTGATCTATCACATATGGGTGTATTTTTTGTTAGAATTCGATCCCAGTAGCTCAACATAGTTGACAAAGAGAAACTTTCCAAGTTGCAAAAACATTACAAGAACGTTTTCAGAGGTATTTGATTTTAAGTTTTCTACTTCATAGATTCGTTCCAGAAAAATAAGACAGATAGCAAATTGTAGTTCAGACGTTGCTCTTTTCAACAACAAAAAAATCGGTTGGCCTAGAAGTTGGCAATATGGTCCAACATAGTTCGACATTTCTCCAAAGACTTTTGTATCGCATGTTTGATCATTCATTTCAGCTTGCTATTCGTCAACAGCATGAGCTTCTTTTATATAGACGGTGATTAAATCAGCACGATTGTGATACGTATTCATAAACTTATTTACTTGTGTCATTCTTTCACGAATTCACCATTGTCCTATAGCCGATGGGCGCTGCCTATAATACTAGAAAACAAACCAAATTAAGATAATCAACGATTGTGATCATCTGTTAAGATCTGATACCGACAGCGAATAAAGTCAGACAAGTTCGTCCCGTTTCGACTCTTTAACATCTATGACTATGCAAAAGTCATCTGATATATTCGAGCAAGTGTTTTCATTTCTTCAAAACGAGCTGCTAGTTGAATAATAGCCATAACAAGTGCATTTTATAGGGCTAAACCACAGAAAGCCATCTTTCTAAACCTTTTTCTCTTGGTTAAAACTGAACCGAGCTGAGCCTGAATGGTTCTTTGTGATCTCTGATAGAGATTGAGAAAACTGAACCGAGCTGAGCCTGAATGGTTCTTTGTGATCTCTGATAGAGATTGAGAAAACGCTT